CAGCTCATTATGAGGTGCAGACTCTGTGCTTCTGGCCACAGCAAGGAAAAAACCAGCCTGTGATTTAAGAGCTCAATCTGGCTTTTCTGCTGGTTTGAATTATCCCGTGTCCTTGGCCCACATCCAAAGGACAGCCTCGTTCAGCACTGTAAGGAAGTGGTATCTTTCCCTAGAATGCAGCTGCACGGGCAAAGCACATCTTTCTGGAAGCCAGAGACCAGTAATTATGGGTATATTTAGAGCGAACAAACATACGATAACCTATTTAGAGCAAGGCTGCAGTTCATCACAGGGTAGTTTTCACTGGAAAGCCACAACCTGAGCAAACAATGAATGGTGACAGAACTCATCAATGGGAAATTCTGAATCCATAATGGCAATTTGTGATTTGAAATCAGCTCTGGGCTTACAGTATTTTTCAAATATTCTTTCGGTGCCAGTGATCCTTCATGCTTTTGTAAAATGACTTTGAAATGTAAAACGGACAATAAACCTATTTTGTAGCTCACACTAAAAGGTGGTGTTGTAATTCTAGCCTTGCGGTAAATGGACCTCAGAGCTGATGGCACAGGAGCACTTTGGAATAAGGGTGGTTCAAAACTTAGCACAAATATTCCTTGTGATCCCCTTTAGCTTAGGTCAGAGGAATAGCCTTAACAAAAGAGACACAAGATAGAATTTGGTGTGCGTTTAGAAAGCCAGCTGATTAGAGTAGACCAAGGGATGGCAGCAGTTTCTATGGACAGCATCTACAGTTTTGAACCATGAACACAGCTATTCCACAGCCCCTTCCTTACCCATCCATCCCAGTTGTAGAGGCCCAAAATACATTTCGGCACAGTATGCTGCTAAAGGTGTAGCACTCCACGGTGGGAAGGAGACTGCACTATAGACAGCATCGTTTTGTACACTCAGCAATGAGTCAACAAGTCCACTGTGAGCTAGTGCCAGGGTGAGGTTCTTTCAGAAAACCCGCGTCCCTCTGTCCCGAGGGTGGTGTGCAGGCAGAAACTCTGTCAGTGGTGAAAGCAGCAGCCAGCTAGACAGAGAAGACGATGGCGATCCAGACCTCGCTGGCAGCGAAGCTGTGGCCCAGGGGCCACAGCAGGCAGTTTGCATCACGGAAAGGTTCGCCATCCCTGTAGTCAGTGGGAGCGTAGATTGGCAGCTATGCCTCAGCCACTGGTGAACATTCCCTGTGGCTTTTGATACATTGTTTAACTTCCTTGAATTTTTGCATCTTCCAGGGTAAAATAACAGTGATTTTGTTGGTTTGTTTTGTGTATGTGTGCATAAATTATCTAGACTAGAGTTGCTACAATTATTGCTAAATTTTACATTGACTATTATTAGAAATAAATGTTTCTCTCGAGATATTTATTATGCAATGGATGTGATGCCTTGTACATATCTTCATGATAGCAATAATGATTGTGTTTTTATTCCTGTATTGCCTCATAGGGACCCAAAGCTAAAAATGTTCATTGTCCAACTTCAGTGTTTGTTCTATGGGATATTTAAGTAAGAGGAAGCATCCACCAAAAGTAAAGCCATGCTAATTTTGAGTAGACAATCTGCTGGACACTTTGAGTTTCCCTAGATTTATGGGGGAGTAATTAGTGTACCCTATCACTTCCAGAGTTCCTGCCGGCTGACACCTGGTTCCATTTTCAGCTGTTAATTCAGAACGATAGCTGTGGTCCAGTGCAGACGCTTCTTCAAACAAAACAGCTCATTTGTGACTGCATTATGTAGGGCTTTTCTTCATTCTAGTTCTGTATTCCATGACACGGACCTTTTATTCTGCCTACCTGTTGCTTGTCTTTCTAGATTTATCCAGGCTCCATAGAGTTAATGCAGGTGATTGAAGACTTTATACACATTGTTGGAATGGGGATGATGGACTTTCAGAACTCGTACTTAATGACCGGAAACATAGGTAAGAAGTAGGATTATTTTTCCCCGAGTCTTTCTAAAATTAACAAAATGAAAAGTTGCAAAAATGTGTGTGGTACACTTGCAAGTGTGATTTCTTTATTTGGATCTTTAAGTACATGTGGATCCATTGATTGTGGATCCAAAGTGTGTGATCTGTAGGTGGGCCCAGTTCCATGTCCATCGTATGTGTACGTATGTGCGTATCTACATACGTGCACATACAGATACACACACACACACACACACACGTGTACATTTGTCCCAAGCTGCGTGCATTTGTATGGGAGCCTGTGGCTGCCCTGCATGTTCGGTACATGTAGAGATGCACAGGGGCTGTGCCTTGTTTTGATTTGCCAGAGGCTCTTCGCATACGTACCTAAGTTTTCTGGGGGCAAACCTGCCTTCCTTTTCTCCCACTGGCTGTCCACAAGGACAGAGCCTCTGTCCCACACGGGTGCTGAGTCCGCGCGAAACACTCCTGGTATCTTGGGGATCACGAGCAAAACTGCTGTCCCTTCCGCGTTCCGAAATACTTCCTGGACCGGAGTGGATCCCCCCAGTCCCGGTAGTAGATTCTGCCGCGCTGAATACGTGCGGTGAAAGCCTTTCGCATGTCACTCACAATAGGGGAGTTACACAGGGCAGCAGGCCCGGCGTACTCATTTCAGCGTCACAGTTGGATTGAGCCAGTAACAATTATTTTAGTCAAACGGAATGTTTATCTTTGTCGTTATAAGTTGTCAGCAGTGCAGATAATCTTAATTTGTTGTTGTTGTTGTTTTGTGCATTTGTTTTTTGAGACAGTGTCTCACTATGTAGTTGAGACTGACCTGAACTCACTATGTAGCCCAGGCTGGTCTCGGATTCACAGTGATCCTCCTGCCTCAGCCTCCCGAGTGCTGGGATTACAGGCATGTGCCACCATGCCCGGCTCTAATCTTAATTTTTATATACATTAATTTGCTTGTTTATAATTTTCTTGTTTATTTAAAACTCCCTCTTATGATATAATTGTGATTGAGAGCGATTTTCTTTCATTGCTTTAATAGTTTTCATGTAAGGCCACTGAACTCCACATAATAGTGCATTTGTATGAGTATATTTTACCCTATATTCTTATTCACAGATGTTTAAGCTTTAGTTTCTGAATCAGGAAGACATCTACCTTGATTAATCCCCTTGCATGGTTTAACTGGTACAGAAAATGATTTTTTTTGTGATTAAGGATTTGAGTGGTTCATTTTACCCTTGATTTCTTCTAAGCTTCTAAATCCTACAGGAACTCATTTGATAAAAGGATATCTTTCATCAGAGTGGTCTTCGAGGCCAGTGTGGTGGGGGCAGTAGTGGTGCATGCCTATATCCTCAGTACTTGGGAGGCTGAGGCAGGAAGATAGCCAGAAGTTCCAGGCCATCCTGGGCTACATAGTGAGTTCAAGACCAGCCTGAACTACATAGAAAGATCTTGTCTCAAAAACAAGACAAACAAGCAAAGATTATTCTTGGATTGCTAATGGGTTACAGCTAACTACTAATCATGTTCTTCAGTTGAGAGAAGATTGTGTGAGACATAAATGGGATAACATCAAATGGAAAAGCACATATGTCTGGAGATATTTCGATGTCCACATACTCTTTGTACTTAGCACAAAGCCTTATCAGCAAGACTTGTGTCTTAATAAACCCACTGGGCCAATCTCAGGATCCAAACTGCCCTCCACAATGAGTGTTCACCTTCTTGTGATGGGTTAGGACCCGTCTGAAGGCAGTGAGAATAAAAAGGTAGCATAGATACTGTCTTTGTTGAAGACTGAATTCAGAAATCAGAGGAAATCTAAATGACCATTGCATAAATTACTGGGCAAACAAAAGAAACAAAAGGGCTAGTATGTTGGCTGTGGAATTTAGGGCAGAAGGGAGGAAGAACCAAGTTCAGTTTCAGGGATACTGGTTCTCCAAGGCGCAAACGCCCTCCTAAAGGCCCTGTGACATCTTTACCATGCGTGGAGGAGAAAGGAATTATGAGGGGAACTGAGAGTTAAAATTAAAGCTGAGGAATGAAAAAAAAGAACTATTGTTTTCTTTTATAGTTAATGTTTAATTATAAAAGGCCCTGCTATTTTAAAATACTCTCAGACTAATACCTGACATTAGTTGAGAATGCGTTTGGAAAATACTATAAAAGGAGAAAAGGCCATCTGAGAATCTAATAAATTTAAACTTGGATATCCAGTAAATTATCTGTAATACTAGCATTATTTGCAATAAAATTCTATTAATCTCCATGTTACACTTCCATAAATAAGTGTTTAGTCATCTTTACCTTTCTTTTGCCTTAGAATTATAGTTTAAATTTTTGCAATAAGATTATGCTGCTTGGGTTTGCCTGCTTCCTTTAATATTACCAAAGTTTAAGTCATACATTATCCATAACTCAAAGCAATTTAATGCTGCAAATCAAGCCAGTATTTTACTTTGCCTTCACATCTTGTATAAAGGCAATGTGATTATTCACTGTCTTGAATTCTTATGTAATAACAACTTTATGTTCTGTGAATAAAAGTCACAAGCATTAATATACTGACTATTCAAATAAGATCTTACTTATTATTCTTTGCCCCAAATTCTGGCCAACAGACTGACTTAGTATTGTTGGTAAATAGAACTGAAGGTTATTTCCATAATATTTAGGAGTTTTCCAAGTATAATTATTATTATTGAATTGAAAAAATGAGTAATACTTACAATTAATGCACTTCATGTTAGCCAATTTGATTTGAGTTATGTATAAAACATGAATCTACTGCTTTGTCTGATATTTCCAGTATTTCCCAGTAAAGACAAACAGAATATTTTAAAATGGCAAAATTTGACATGTGAGTTGGCAGGAACTTTTCTTCCCATTCAAATTCTAAATATTAATTAACCAACATTAAAGTAGTGATACTGAACACATACCCATGCAGGCATGCACGTGAGCTCAAAGATTCGAGTTGAATACAGTATGCGAAATGAAGAAAAGTTGTTTATTTCTTGTATGCATTCTCTTTAAAGCATGTTGGATTAAGACTCGTTAGGAGCTCCCGAAGATCCTCCCGTCTTTTAGAAAGAATGTGCTTTGGTCATTTCTTCTGTTGCTGGGATGAAATACCTGACATCTGCAAATTAAAGAGAGGTTTATTTGGCTCATGGTTTCAGAGGTCTCAGTCCATGGTCGCCAAGTTCTAAGGCAGAGACACCATGGCCGCGGAGCTGCCCGACTCATAGCAGTCAGGAGGCAGAGCATGTTGAAAAGAGCTGAGAGGAAGGGACCGCGGTAGATTCCTTTCCTAGGATTGCATTCCCATGACTCCTTTCTCCAGCTTAGCCCCACCTCCGTAGCTCATTCAGGTAGGAAATCATCAGTGGGCTGAACCACTAATGAAGTTAGTGCCTCACTACCCCGTCACCTTTCCAGAAGTCTCTTGATCCGGTCAAGTTAACAATTAAGATTAACCAGCACAGAGTGCAGATTATTTTTCATAAATCCTTGTGCCAAAAAGAGTTGAACATAATGACAGAATGACTACATCATCTAACAAGCATCTCAGAGATTCACTGAAAACCAATTTTATTTAAACTTTAAATAAAATTTTAACATTTCTGTTTTCTGGCTCCTTGTTTAGATAGAATGAGATAGAAGCAGACAGTGCTCTTAGTGGGACATATGTAGGAAACAGAAAAAATGAAATGTTAGAATGATAAGGAAAAAGCAGCACTAAGTGATTCAGCTGAGTGCGGTCCACATTGTGGAAATAAATGAGTCCTCACACTTCACCTTTGTACACAGTCATAAGACTGAAGGCAGTAATTTAGGTTTAATACCATGACCTTAATTCATCAATATAAAAGTTCCTATCATCTGAGTATGATGCAGGGAAAACAAGTAGTGTATCTTAGATACTTTTTCAAAAAGATCTTGTGAAAACTTGTGAAGATTCTTTTATTTGGAAAATATCTCCATCTGTAACAGCTTTTGATAATGAAATTCTCTTATATGCTAACATATCTATGCACATTTTGCTACACATGCGTATGTGTACAGTTTTGGAGGGATTTTTAGTCAGTTCAAAAGCTTTGTGATTTCAAGGTATTTAATACAGGTTTGGGAAAAATAGTTCTATAAAATATTAAATTGATGCATTTATCAAATATTTGAGCTTCAGTAGAATGTCTATTTTTAATATTTACGTATGACTATGACCTTCTAAAACAGACATGTGGTAATTATACATATGAGTAAAGGAACACATACTAAAGTCTAAACATTAGTTTGTGTAAGTACAAAAGAAGTGAATGCACTTGAAGAATTGATAGGCCACAGAGATATTTCAATTTTTAGTAAGCTTTATTTCATTGTAAAATTGAATTCTATGATTCTAAATATGCTTCTAAATAAGTGTTATAAATACACATAAGTGGTTTTAGGAAAAAATATAAATTTTTCATTGTTTAAATTTTAAGAATTATTATCACTTAGGTCATAGAAATAGATTTCTATTATTCAATATGAGTTATTTAAAAAAATTTTTTTCTTTAATGAAAAGGAAGATTATTTTTCCACTACAAATTTCTTTGAAAAGTTATTTGCTCTGTGTAGTTTCTCTCCAACAGTTTCCTCCTCCTTAGCCTCTGGGAAGCCAACATCTCTCTCATTGCTTTCCTGAAGCTCTGGTTAGAAAAACCTTCAGGAAATACCCCAAAATCAGATTGAACCTCTCAACAAACTTCTCATTCTTCACATCCTCTGCATGTTGCTAACCACTCTCTTTCTTGAAACTGCCCACTTTTATTTATTGCATCTAAAATACAATTAAATGATAAACATGAATTTCATGGCTTGGAAATATTTGGATTTTTGGAGGCAGTAATGTAAAGAAAACTAAGCACCCCTGAGGAAAAAAAGTAAATTATGTGACACCCCACTTTCTGCAGTTCCAAAGACAGAAAGAATTCACGAGGTCTGGTATAATTAGGGTGACAGGGCACCTGCATGGATTTGTGTATTCCAAGGATTTGCCTAAAGTTCCAGTAGAGTGTTTTATACTGTGTATTATGTTTTATGTCAGTCATACATTTTCAACAATAGCTTCATGTAGCATATTACATTTGCTCTGTTTGTTAGCAAGAATAGCCTACTCTTTAGAAATTAATTGCTTTAATTTTGGATTTAGAATAAGAATTGGACACATTGGCCGGGGATTTAGCTCAGTGGTTCCACTGCCTGCCTTGCAAGCACAGGGACCTGAGTTCAATCCCTGGTACCAAAAAAAGAATTGGATACATTGAACTGAATTAAAGGAGGTCAGTGATGTATTCAATGTTGTTGCCTACTGACCAGTGAAAAACAAAACTAATTTATCCTTCACTCTAAGCAAAAATTTTACTGAGAGATTCAGATCATTACAATACATGAATAATTGTTTAGCCTGCAAGCAGATTGCAGTTTAGTCACAGATATATAACAATAAATAAATGAATACCAGTTATACTTTGGTTTGTGTCTACAAACTGCCTATTAGAGATTCGCTACAGGAAAAGTTAGACTATATAAAGATCAAGACAAATTTCTTAGAGTAGGAATCATTTCCTGTGGTCTTTGAAAGATGGCTGGCTTGTAGACAGCTCAATACGAAGAACACTGAGAAGTACAGAGTTATATTCTAGAACCTTCTTACAGCAAAGATGGTAAAGATGTCCACCCTGAGATTGTGTTTAGGAATAAGTGGCCTCTTCAGATAAAAAGCAGCAGTGTATTGAGTGAAGGAAGTAAAATAACACTTGAAAGCCATGTTTCCGGAGTGAAGATATTAAAGGATTCTTTTTTTTTCATGATTCATAAACGTAGGCACATCAGGCTTTTTATTATTGTAGCAATGATGCCAAATAAGACTCTTGAAGCTTGACACATTAAAATGTGTGCGTTGATAGGACGTGCATTACGGCACAAGACTGAATTTATAGACATCGGGAAAGACCATAAGCACAGTGAGTCTACATGGAAGTCAGAGGCTTTTTACTGAAATCCACGCAGGACATAATGAAGTTGTGTGTATTCATCAGCTTTCTCATTGCAGGAGCACAATACTAATACCCACTAAGTAAAGGAGAAGTTGAATTTGGTTTCTGTCTTACAGGATTCAGCCCCTAAATGGCTGGCTTCAAGACAGAAATGTTACAGTGGAAAGGTGTGGGGAGCAAAGTGGCATAGCCCATGGTGAACAGGAAGCAGCAAAGGGGAGTAGCTCCAGGGAGGTAGGAGCCAAAGAGAAACCAGACACAATTCTAAGGCCATGACTTCATGATCTATCCAGAAGTCTGCTTCATTAATACCCTCGCCATTTTTGAGACAGCATCTCACTATGTAGCCCAGGCTGCCCTCAAACTTGCAGCAATCCTCCTGCCTCAGCCTCCTGAGTGCAGGGATTACAGGCATGCACCACACCCGGCCAATCCTAGGCATTTGTTAATCTAGTCAAGTTGACATGCCGTGATAAATGCTCCCCACTTGAAGTAGTAGTGGCATAAATAGAAAGCAAAAGGACATGAAGTTGAGATGCTATGTGAGGTTCTAACTGAAAGGATTTCTATAACTGACTGGGTATAAGAAAAGAATTAAAGTTATATTTATTTGGCAGATGTTTGAGAGTAGCTCTTAAATATTAATATTTAGGCAATAGAGTCCCAAGTGAACACTAAAATGAGACCTTGGATATAAGTAGAAATGTCAAATCTGGAAATACACATTTGATGTTTGACTGCATAAAAATGATGGATAAAACCATATGAGTTTGCTCAGTAATCAAAGCAGTGATAAAAGAGGAAAGACATAAAGTGATGCCCACAGTAAAAACAGTGAGTCGGGGCATTAAGTAAACCTGGTAGATTTAAGAAATTTGACAACAAAATAATACAAAGTCACTATCATGTAATTAATAGGAGGGAGAAAAGATTGCAGAATATATACTCCAGCCAGTGTCAGTGACTAATAGAATTTCACGTTTTACAGCTAAGATTGTATAACATGATTGTATAATTGATTGTATAACATGAGAGCTCTCCAGGAAAATTGCAGGCACAGTAGGGAGGATCTAAATTCTCGAGTGTTAGATGGTTTTAGTGGATCACCCTTAGTATTTGGATACAGTAATGTTCAAGGATTTGCCTCACATAGATGACTGCTGATAATCACACCTATTGCTATCTCACAACTGTTCCTTAGAAATTATTTAAACGTGATAATACCAGATGAAAAAAAATAGTTTTGTGCCTATTATAGTTCTAAATACACAACGATGCAGTTATTTGTTGTAAGAAATTTAAAATATTGGTCTGATATAAACCCTCAGAGCTTTAAGGTTCTAGGAAGGATAGTATCATTTTTTTTTCCCAGTAAACTAACAAAGCCAGCACCTTAGGAACACCAGTTATTGTTCTTTACCAAACTGTCACTATTTATTCTTGGTTTAGAAATACGCAACATTGGGCTTGTTGGAATGAACATTTGCATTTGTTATTTTCTGAGGTTGAATCCATATTCAGCCTGAATGATGCCATAACAGTTTGTTGTTTTTTTTTTTAATTTCATTGCTTCTTCGTCAACAGCAAATCTGTGTTTTCTTAATTTCGCTGGTGAAGTGAATCATTTCTCTGGTATAACGTCTTGTTCTTTTTGGTGAATCCAGTTTCAGCCTGGCAATGGCACTGTCAAAATGGCTTCTCTTTCTTGGGTTGTTTTCCTTGTTATCGCTGCTTAGTTCTGTGGTTCACACGTCTCTCTCACTTGCTTAACTTTGTTTCTTTAAAAATAGGACAATCGTCAGTCGACAACACGACCCCAAAATACGCAAGTCTGCGTGTTTTCTGTTTATCTGTAGCCCCTGACATCCGCTCAGCTTGCTAGACGTGAGTGCCGTGTGAGGTTCTCCTCCACCCTCTGCTGCTGCACCTCTCTTTCTAGATGCCCAAAGCAAAGGAGTGTTTTCTTTAGGTCAGAAAAGAAAAATGGAAAGGGCAAGTTTCTCTGCAGTTCCAGCCTGCTGATTCTCATAGCAAATAACTGAAGTCTGGTTTTGAATGAAGCCATTGTACGTGGTGCCTGACGAGCTGTCTGCTCATTTCTCATTCAGTGGAAATGATCGCTCAGTGCTTGCTATGATCCACCTCCTCCAAAGCACTGGCGGTGAAAGCCAACCCAGAGACCGTTATCAGGGATGGTCCAGGGATGCAGACCACGCGGGGTGTGGGTGGGCTTCTTCCATCCGCCTGGGAACTCCAGGTTAAGGCAGACCCTGATATCGGAACGGGGTGGGAAATATACTATAATTCGTGGGTTTAATCCGCTTTCGGGTTCTCAGCCCTTCATTCAGTAATGGCGTCCCATGTTCTGTCTTAGGCTTTGAGGATTTCTCATTGAACAAATTAGACAAAGCTCCTGCTCCTGTGGAACTTGTTTCATAGTAGGGAGGGGGATGTCAAACACCAGCTCTGACGTGCCCCGTGGCTGTGATTGCCGTGCAGAGAAACAGGTGAGGGTAGGAGTGTCACTGTCAGGTCGGAAGAGGCCTGCCATTGGTGAAGCAAAGTTTGAGCATAGGGCCGACAGCCTTTAGATCGTGAGGCATGGCGATATGTGGGGACGGAAGACTTCACCCAGAAGCGCAACGTGGGTAAAGACCATGGTGCCGCCACCTACTTCGTGTTTTAGGAGAACAGGCCAAAGCCATTGGAGCCGGAGTCCCTCAGAGAGGAACCGTGGGAGGGGATGGTCTGAAAGGAGCAGCAGGAAGTGAGGCTGGAAGGCATTTGGCTGAAGGTCAGACTAGGCAGGACAGCCAGAGGATATGAGCAGAAGAACGATGGAATCTGACTCACGTTCTACAGGGACCATTCTGCCACACAGTGGAGAGCCGGAGACAACAAGGCATCCTGTGACATAGTGTGAACTATGAGGTGCTTACTTGTCATAGCCCGTGAAAGGACATCGCGGCTCGGACCAAGTGACAGTGGCAACAGTGAGGCGATGTAGGAATAGCCGATCACTCAGAGTCCCCTGCTGGTTATAAATGGGCTGGGAAAGAAGGGTGAGGTTAAGGAACTGTCCCCGGAGCGCCCGAAAAAAACAGTCACAGACATCAGTCTGGCTACGCTCATGACCATTTTGATGCCAGTAAGGTCCAGAGTCCAGAGCAAGCTCATTTTGGTTTATTCTCCATAAATTCTCATCTCCACATTGAACACAAGCCCTTACACTTGCAACTTAAGTTATTTTTACTCTTCCCAGGGAGACTGAACTGTGTTATCCTTAGAAGCTAGCAGCAAACTGTCATCATTCCACCGTCTGCATCCTTTATCGACAGCCAGAATGCAGTTATTCATTAAAATGATTTCGTGAAGCTGTACCTCAGACTTAGCTGCCAATTAGCAAATGACGACCATTCTTGTCTTTCTTCTTCTGCTTGTAAAAACGTGGTGCTTCGAGAATCGAAGATCTCAACCATGTCCATCAATAAACTAGTCAGCTCCTTTCTACAGAAATATTATCTAAGTTGGAAAGATTTTTGAAAAAATATCTGTATCTCTATAGTGGACTTTAATGTAGAAAACACTCATGTTACAGTGTTTCCATTAATCAGTGGGCTTATATTGTTCTGGAAGTTAAATGGGGTGAAAACAGTTGCATAAGATTGTACATGATTGAATCTATTTTATACAGCCACACTCAAGGACAGATAACTCAACAAGTCATTGTTAGATAATGCTACTTTTCCCTGAAAAACACTCTAAAACATATTTGATATTCATTCTTTCTTGTTTTGAATAATCTAAGTGCCCTAAAGTTTTTCTGTCTTAGGCCTATATTATGCCAACAGCTAGCGCTAATACTCATTGTTGCCCCGCTGTGAATATCTCCTATAGTCTCCAGGTCTGTATTTACTAGGTTTTGCTCCTTTATCCTCACTTAGTTTATTACTATGAAAGAAGAAAGTTAGAGTTGGGTGGGGTGTTGTACACCGTGCACTTGGGAAGATGGAGCAGGAGGATAGCTTGAGATCAGTTCAAGACCAGCCTGGGCAACATAGAAAGACCAGCAACTCAAACATAAAAAATAAAGCAAAGCATAGAATGTATGTCTTGTTTGTTTTGTCACCAAAGCACAGTTCCAAAACCCCACAGTTTTAAAGAGGACAGGCTTATTTGGCTCAGCTTCATCCCCTGAACGCTGGGCTGTGGAGCATGGAGACCATGGCCAGAGGGCCTGGGGAGGCTGCTCTGCCTCCCTCACGGCAGCTGGGACAGCAGCTCTGAGGACCCGGCACAGCCCGGAAGCAGCCTCCCGACCTGTGCTCACCAAGCCCCGTCAAGGTGGCACGCCCCGCTGATAGCCACATAAATATCCATTTTTACAAAGAACTCTTCAGAAGTGGCATTGGAGCACCATAAATAGGAAAGCGTTTTCTTTTTCTCCTTATCCCTCTGGCTTTCCAAGAAAAATTTGGATAGAGCAACACTTACGTTCTCTAGCACTTCTCAAAGGAATGCCTTCACCGATTTTCTGGAGACTGTTTCCTCCTAACAAGCTTGCTGCTGCTCAGCCACATCCGTGCTCCCCATTCAGAGCAGATGCATTTTTTTCTCTTTGTATCTCACTAATTGAAAGTTAAAGATTTGTTTCATTATCTTACTCGACTGAGCACATTCTAACCTACTTTGTTATATAACAAAATTCAGGGTAGTTTTGTGGATTTTTTTTTTTATGAGACTCTAGGGAAATCTTACGTTTTTTGTGTTTCTACAAATACACATATCTCCTGCCATTTACTTTCTTGCATAGTAATCTTCGTTTACAGCTACCTTATTGAACATTTAGTGTCATTTTCCTGGGCTAATTACACATTCTGTGATACCTATGAGCCCATGAAAATATTGTGAACTTCTTCGTTATCCGTTCACTCAGTCCCCAGCCCTCGAGTGAGAATGAGTAGAAACGGTACCAAATCCTTGCCTCGAAGTCCTATCGCTTCTTCATTTTTATACTTACTTGGGGAAAGCTCATGTTCCAGAGAAACCTAAGGAAATAACACAAAAGTCATGCCATAGAGGAAGCACAAAGGTGTGCGGCAGCTTTTGGAACACCAACAGGAAAGCGGAGGAAAGGTGACACCTCTCGTAGCTGTGTGTGCCAGTGAGAGAGTAAATGGCCCACAGCAAGCAGTGTGAGTGACAGATGGCCTTGGTGAAGCCGTATTAGCAGTGCGTCCTGCTGTGCTGGACGTGGATTGTGAAAGCCATCTTCAAATAGAAAGCCTCTGTTTCTCATAAGAGTACAGGCTGGAAATTATTGAGGTTCTAAGTGGTGACATATAGACTTAGCCATAAACACTTTGAGCTTGAGTTTTCTCTATTCTTCCTAAGGGACTTGAATTTCTGCAGAGAAATTATTGGTGACATCTGCACCTCAGGGAAGCTATAAAGAGGAACTTTGCGTAAAGGCAAGTTGGTGCTTTACCTCAGTTTAATGGATTTGGTGGACTTTTGGGAAAGCCTGTAGGATACAGGACTGAGCAAAAGAGCCATCTGGAAAGCTAAATGGCTTTCTGTTTCCCTGGAGAATTTGAATTTAAAAGGTACTGGAACTTTAGCTCTTCCCAGGGTGACTTGATTCTTTTGTTTGCAATAAGTTCCTTCAGAATCTGAAGATACACTCTTAAAAGCATAAACAAAGATACAGTGTAAAGCCTTCTGAAAGCAAAATTTGGATTTTATAGAATATTGCTTCTGGTCTCTACTGGTTTATGCAGTGCAGTAAACATATGGAATTAGTAAAATTGACACCCTGTATACCTTCTCTCTGATTTTGCTCTCCTACTGAATTAGAAGGATGTCACTGTGAGTTTGTGTGAATAGCAAAAATAATCCCATTTCAACTGTTTCTATGGCAATAATTGCTTATCTCTATGGCAATAGTGTCTGCTTCCCATAACAATAACCACTGAAAAGAGGCACTGACTCTCTCTTAACAAGATTTCATTTTTTTTTTCTATTTTCATGGTCTCCCTTTTACAAAATCTTATGTCATTGGGTTATACCGAGATTTCTCCCTGAATTCCAAATAAGTAGGTCCTAATTTGAAAGCTGAAAAATCTGCCTCCGATTAAAACCTGGTACTTTCACATTGTGCGTGCAAGCACGGACTCTGTTTTCTTTTTCTTTTTTTTTTTTAAACACATGGCTTTGGACCAGACATATGTGCTGAAGACCTGGGCGGGGCAGTGCCGTGACTGACTGGCCCTGTCAGTTCGCGAATTGCTAGATGCCTGTCTGTTCCTCCCTAAAGACAGAACATACCCTCTGTGGAGCTGTGGCCTGGATAAATGCTTGCACACGCTTAGCACTCTGTGGTAACAGACCATCCCAGGACCAGACTTGGGCCCTGCTTCTGACTGCACGGGTGACTCTAGTCACCTTGGCCACTGTCTACCTCTGTCCGGAACTTCTGAAAATTACCAAAATTCACATCGTACCCTTCATTTTTAAAAAACCTGCATATCATGCTTATTGTGTATTTCAAGATTCTGGGCTTCTAGGCAGATAGTTTGGCTGATATAGAAAGCCAAGCATGCGCTGCATAAAAGGGGCGTGTGACACAGTTGCCTTGGGCAAGAACAGTTAAACCTACCACATTTGAATGTCTCTTGCTCTCTTCCGAAGCTGCTCTTCCCTCCCATGTATTTACTTGTCATTAGTCACCTGCCCAGCTTTCTTAGGAGACGCATAAGAAGAAACCTTTCTGATTTAATTTGACAATATTGCAACAGTGGTCTGCAGAGTTCTGTCAATTATCTTAATAGATGCAGAAAAGATTTCTGTAGGATTACCATATTCTAGTTCTTAACTGAAGTCTCTTCAGCAGTCAGAAACTACTTTTGACTTTGGTAACGTACTTAAAATTTTCATACGGAGATTTTAAATGTAAATAATTTCTAAGAACAGCAGCTTAATATGTTTCATTTGGCCTTCTGTCTTGGTCAGTGAAAAAAAATATATGTATGAAAAGTGTCAATATGTGTTTGTATGTGCAATTTTTAAAATACTTAGTAGTATTTGAACCAGAAATAAGTTATTTTAAATAATACTAAAATTCGTGCTTTGAGCTTAGGGGAGAATTAAGTATTTTTGAAAGTCACATTAAAGAATAATGATGCTTTCTTTTTTATTCATTAAGTTTATTGGTGCATTTTAGGTAAATGGAGGCATCTTGAGAACAGAATTTTGAATATCTCATTGTTTCTCTTATGTGAGTAACTCAAAGGGGGAATAAGAACCGAAGTGAAGGATAGATATGGGGAAGTAGGAAGAAAATGTTCAAAGGAGAAGGGAGAAAAGGGTGGGGTTAGGAGTAAGGAAAGGCATAAAACATAAAAAAGAATGGAGGGAGAACAATGGAAACAAAGTCTTATAAACGGAGAGGGAAGGAGACTGAGGAGCAGGACTGACGAGGAGGGAATGGGGAAAGTGAATTAAGCTATGTTATATGCAGGTCCAGACTCCCTACCGTGACTGTGCTCATGATGTGTGGCCAAAGTGTACCAGTGGAGTTAATTTTCAAAAAGTAAAAAGGGCTGGGGCTGTACCTCAGTGGGAAGTCCCTGGGTTCAGTCCATAGTACTGCAAATCAATCAATCAATCAATGAAGCCAATTCCAGAAATTCATTAAAGCTATATAATTTTATACAGGGCACAGTACTATGTTTAAGACATAGCTGAGGATTATAAATTAAATATAATTGAGGAGGCCGAACAGTCATAAAAGAGTGATTTCTATTGAGTAACACATTACATTTCCAAATACATACTGAGAATATTGTGTATACTCTGAATTTGAATGAAACCTGATCCATTAAAAAAATAGGGTCCCATAATTGGTCAGGGATACCTTAATGAGGCCAGTATATGCTGAAGCTTTTTCTTTGTCACTATACAGTGTTTTTATACTAATTTTCAAAATTTATTTGAACTCCAGTATTCCTATCTGAAGTGTGAATATTCTTCCTTTTGAAAAATATGTATCATAATTTACAGTGTAAATATCTCTCTCTTTTTTTTTCTGCATACTTTCCTTTTGCTTTTCCCAGATTCGTTGCCTGGTTATTTGTGTTTTGATTTTCCCTGACTCTCAAATATTTTTCCTATTACTGCTAAGATGGAATGATATTCTAACTAACCACAACAACCTTTTCTGTCATTCAAATGTGTTCTGAAAATACTGAATATTTTAAAAATATCATAAAACTTTAAAAATATAAAAATATATTTATGTTACAATTTAAGAAAATAGTAAGTTTATAGTTTTATGATTTAGAGTACATAGTCATAGCAAAGTATCGGCTGGCATACATTTTTTTCACTACATATGATCTACTGTAATGAAATAGAACATGTGATTTGATGTAAGAGTGTGTTTATTTCTGGGAAATGCTCTTCTCGCTGAATTGTGATGTCCTTGTATGTATTGACTTCCTCTCTAAACTTTGAGTCTTCCCCTGTACTTTACATGAGTTAGAGAAAGGTAATGTAAAAGGATAGAAGGAAATTGTCACACATTGCATCTTACTGTGTGTATGACATGAGGTAGTTGTCTTTTGCTTAATCCTCATGAAAGGCTATTGTTTTTAGGAATGATTAAATTGAAGAGAAATTAAAGGATTGACCAAAGTACACTGAAAAGCAGACTTTTTTGGCTTCAGTTTGACTGTATTAACCTCCTGCATCCTACTGAGCCCTGTGCAAACTTCATTTATTTAAAGGGGGACAGTTAGTGTATCAAACCCCCTGCATGCTAAGATCCTAGCACACAGCTGTACATAGTGAGCATGCTACTCTCTTTGGAGCATAAAATCTAGTGTGGGAGACAGAAAAGGAGCAAGCCCATGTCAAACTGCAGAAACCTCTGTGAGAAGATATAACAGAAGGCAGGGCTTGGAGTTCTTTAGATGGGGTGCATAGGACAGGACCCTTCTGAGGGAAGATCACTCCTTATGAAACCATCTTCTCATTAGGTGTTTTGTTCTTGAATCTTTTCCCCCTCTCCCTCCCGCTCTCCCAGCCCACCACATACATAGATAGATAGATAGATAGATAGATAGATAGATAGATAGATAGATAGATAGATAGATAGATTTTTTGGGGTGTTTTTTCCTCTTCTTTTATCTTTCCCTCTAAAAGTGCCCGTTTCCTGAGTGGTATTTCCCAGCTCTTTCCTGCCACCCCTCGGTGTGTGACAGCTCTCTTCTCAGCTCTTCCCCACTTCCACCAGCTTACCAAAGAAGCTTTTCTGTCAGAGCCGCTTCCCAGCCTCAGCAGTCCTGCTCCTTTATGTCGTTTATCATGACCGACATTAGCCTAGTTGTGCTTGGCAGTTGCTTGCCCCCCTTGCTCTCTAGATTCTGTGCCAGCCTCCTGGGGGCAGTGACTTTGACTGTCTGTTCCCAGGTGCATTTCCAGTGCCTCCACTGTGCTGAAGGTGTCATAGTGCTCGACTTACACGTGCTGAATAAGCCAATCAGGACCCTGCATTCTCTCTCCAGGAAAACTTACCCACATTGTCCACTCTCTGTCTAATGAAAAGAGGTCCAGCCTACATTTCCACGTCCCGGATGGGATCGTTCTCCAGATCCCAACCTCTCAGCATACGCGGTCGTTGCAGCCTTCCCCCTGCCCGAACTCTACACCGTACGTTCATTACCGTTTCTGTAACCCACGGTGACCTTTGCTGTGCCGGTCCATTCCCTACTCAGGATGCCCTTGCTCTTCCCATCACCATTGTGATTCTCCTGCAGCCTTATTGGGGTCCCGCTTCTGGGTTCCCACAGGCTGTCCCCTCTTCTTTAGCTCCACACGTCTGCCCAACCCCAGTGGCGGTCACAGGGTCTCCCTTCATCACCTCCGGGCTCATCAGCCATTGCCTCACACAGGTCCCTTCGGCAACCTTTGTTCTTTAAATTGTTTCACCAGCTGAGCAGTGGTGTTTATTCCCCACTAGACTGTGGGCTCTTGAAGGACACCTTGTGTGTCTGTCGGTGGTTCACTTACTAAATTCCCAGTGGTCAGCCGATTCGTGGAGCTATCAGAGGTGGGTGGAGGTTCATCGGTGAATTACTGTACAAATGAGCTCCTCCGTGCTGTCCGCTGTTTTGTAGGACTCAGCGCTGTCCGTCTCAGCTGTTTTTCACTATCCTAGGACGACCTTGTGTCTGTGCCTTTAATTCCTCTCATTTCTGTAGTGTGCCTAACCCTTGGAGAAGAGAACCCTGATTCTTTGTTGTCAATGTGGTGTTGCATACACATGCACACACACAGCCCGCATGCGTGGAAAAGGAGACGATGCATAAACCAAAGCCTTTCCTATTCTGTATTTGGTTAATTATCATCCAACATTCCTTCCATCATGGAAATTCTGCTTTTAATTTCATGGGTTAAGAAAAGAGGATTTATTTTCTAAAGTATTTTCTACATTGATTTTAGTATTGTGACACCCTCCAAAAATGACTTCAGGTCTCGTTTTATTTCACGATCATGTTAGGATTGAAGTCGTGAACCACTCGTGTGAAGATGATACATACTGTCTGTTCCTAAAAGAACAGAAAATGCACCTTGTGTGATAACTGAAGGGAAATTTCTGTAATCCGCTTACATTTTCCTGGTACATTGTGTGTAACATGGAAAAAACAAGGCAGCCAGAAGGACTTTTCAACAGGTAGTACGGTAAGTGGAGACACTACAGTGCTTTTAGGTCATATTTCTCTTTAAAGAGAAATACGTCTTCAACAATGGTTTCTCTGCCAAAAAGACAGGCACACGTTTTTAGTAAAGGCCCAGGCAATAAATATCTCAGGGTCTGTGGACCCCAAATTCTCCACTGCCGATGCAAAACTCTGCCGCCACAGCAGGAAAACAGCCGGGGACAGTACGTAAATTAGCAGGCTTCCAGGAGAACTTTTTGTTGCCACTGAAAACTTAGCTATATAATTTTCATTTCCTAATAAATACTATTCCTTTGATGGTTTTTCCAGCTGTTTCAAATATAGAAACCATTTTTAATTGGTGCACTATACAAAAATAAGCAAGGGGACAGCTTTGGCCCCAGGCTGCAGTTCCGTGTGCCCTGGTGAAGAAGTTAAACCTACACAGAAGTCACACATGGCACTTCGCATGGACCCTGGGCTCCACCATTGTTCAAGCTGGGGGTGAGAGAGCCCGGGGAGTTGCAGGGGTCCTTCCTGAGAAAAGCCTCACCTACGGAGAGGACCGTGGGCAGAGGTGTTCCACTGCCCAAGACATTCCGGCTTTGGATGGCCGGTGCAAAAAGCAACATGAAGCTGACAGCTCCCAAATATTTTACAGATTTTAAATCTTGATTCTGGAAAGGAGTGTGCCAATTACCTAATCATTTAAGTTTTAAGACATAGCCCATTAACCAGTTTAAAAATGAATTTTTAAAATGCATTTTTTAAAACTGCCTATGTAGTTTGTCTACTTTTCAATATCAGAGAATCCTGCTATTTCTCTAAAGACAGTGGGGGTGGAGCCATCACAGGAGGAGCGTTTCTCAGGCAGCTCTCTCTCCATAAGGTGCTCCTGGCACTTGGGCTCTCACCTCACTAATGGGAAGTGGAGAAGAGGCTGCTGGCGCCCTCTCGGAGCACCGTGGTCTTGGCTGATGTCCATCCTCTGCTTTGCATCCAGAGCAAGGACGACCACACGTCAGAGCCCTGCCAGCCTCCTGCTGTCCCGCCACCCTCAGCGTTTCAACTCCAGCCTTTGGGGAAAGAAGAGAGTAGGAAATGGAGACAGAGAGGAGAAAACAAACTAAAACTCTGTAGAAATATCTGTACGGTTCCTGTCATCCTAAATCATCCTGGAGCATGATTTCTCAGGGTTATGTTACTCTATAACCGCTGTGCTTGGCACTTTCGTATTCACTGTGCCTGGTTCCCCTTTTATAACCACTGTTCTCCGGTGCTGTCTAGGTTGGGCCTCCTGATGGGCACGTGAGAGTTGTATTTTCCTCAAACTGAATGATCGTGCCTGTCTGTTACACTCAGTAGACAATAGCACAGTGACGCAAAGGCATTTGCTGTTAATTTGTTAGGTAAAAACCACACCGTGCCACACAGTGCAAACTCAGACTTCGGAAGAGACAGGCTAGGCTTTGAGTCGCGTATCCCCTCGGAGACGTCCCTGAAACTGAGTCTGCTTCTTCCCTCGTCCAGTGAGGGTCCTGGGAAGAGCGTGAGGCTACTGACACTGTCAGCGCTTCCTGGGGTGCTCCACATGTCCAGTTCTGTGTCGCGCGCTGCGCTGGGGACGGTGCCCAGCTCAGAAGTGGCACTGCGTGTGTACTTGTTGAATGAGGTGAGAGATGGAGAAGAGCCTCCTGGCAAGTGCCCAATACCTGTCAGCTCTTCTGCGCTTCTTTTGCAAAGGCCCTCACTGTTTTACCAGTACGCAGCGTTGCTGTTTGCGAAGATCGAGGTTTTTCAAACTGCTTAATTCCAGGGGGGTCACAGTACATGTAGGCTGTGATCAGTCCTCGCACCTTCTCATAAATACGCCAAAGATGCTGTAGCTGCTTTCTAACGCCCTGAGCCAGCCCATCTTTCTCCCTTACCCTGTATCTTTCTTACAGGATTTCAGAATCATGCGGTGACCATGCGGCATTCTTGAGTGCTGCTTCCCACGAGCAATTCTATTTTGATAACTGGGGACATTTTCTGATACTGATGAGTCAAGGCCCAGTTTGCTAGTTATCCTTTCTGAATCAATATGAAGAATACGCGAACTTCAAATATATTTAAGATGTCAATATAAAAAGCAATGGAAATACCAGTTTTAAAGTAGCCTTGAAACAACCTGTGCGTTCCTTACAGTTTGTTTCAGATTGAGAGGCGCCCATGCCTCCGTGTCCCCTCTGGGTGTTTACACAGAGTGCTTCAAAATATGAGTCGCGGTGTTAATCACCTGCATTTCTGCTTGAGAGCAGCACTTCTGCAGCACTCTGCGGCCTCAGGCCTTGGCTGCAGGGAATCTGCTATTCATGCTGCAGTGAATCTCTCAACTCTGATGAAGTGAGAGATTTTTAACCTGGCTGACCTTGGTACTCCAGTAACCAGAGAAGGCAAACCCTTCCCTCTTGCAGAACCTATGTAGAAAAAGTGTTTATAAAAATGAACATGGTTATATTATACACCTGAAATGTACCCATAAGACAAGATAGAGGAAAAAGAAAGAAGACAGTGAAAAGGAACACTCACTCAATTCCTGCGGTGGTATATTTAAGTACTAAAGAATGAATTCTATTTAAGTGCAGTTTCTCCTTCTAGTTATATGAATCAGAGGTTGAATTTTGCCATGAGTGGTTAAATTTTTAAATTTATTCCAGTATAAGACTTAGTGCCCTTAAACTTCCCTCAGAATACTCTCTCCCTCTTCAAACACACTTCTCGCATTATTTTTGCCACTTTCTGAGCACTTCTGGACGTTGTCTTTTTGTGAGTGTCTCAGTGACCCAAAGGAAAGCCAGGCAAATAAAAACACGCATAGGTGTCACCTCACCTACCTTATCCACCCAGATCTGGCACCCTGCGACTTCCGACTCTTCCCCAAAATCAGAATGACCGTGAAAGGTAAATGTTTCAGATCCTCTCAGGCGCACAGCAGCTGTGGCAGTGCCACTGAAGGCAGTCTCCAAAAGGAACGCCTAGAGCTACTTCTGAAAATGGCAAGCATGGTGGGCTAGGTGTGTTTGAAGCAAGGCGGAGTATTTTGAGGGAAATTGGTAGCAGTGTTTCTCTTACTATAATAATTTCTAATGTTATCAATAGTGTGTTTGATGATGCCTCATATATTCAACAAAAAGTTTTTTGCAACGCAGTTTTGAACACAAAAGGTCACCACCTGACAAGCAAAAAATAAAGTTTGTAGGAAAAGTCTCTTTGTCATATGATAGAAATCAATGCAGTGGTAGTTCCTTTGACTTGATTATGGGAAAACCTGCTCCAATAGTAACAGCCAGTTCGTGCTTATTGTGGCCGGCACACCTCTAGGTGCTCCGTTTCCAGCCTTGATAGCCAACAGCCCAGAGAGGTAGCTCTTAGTTCCCATGTCACAGAAGGAAGCATTGAGGCATGCGCTTTGGTTCAGTCATAAAACTTCTAAGAAAATAGGAATTTATCTTTCAAACTAAGACTTAGGACCTGCCTAGGGAAGTCTGTCAGTGATGACATAAAACAGCAAAAGCAAACTGGGATTATCCTGTGAAACCAGGGTTATAGCCACCATAAAAACTTCAGAGTCTGCATGCAGGCCCGATCCAGAGTCCACACACACAGCTCTGGTAGACTGCTATCTGCTGTCCTGTGTCCATTTTGCTCTTGTGTCTTTTCCTTCCATGTGCCTTCCATTCCTGACCGTAAATCAGCTGCTATATCACATTAACTCACTGTGGTTTAATTTTTTTCATTTATTTATTTGTATTTTTTGGTACCGGGGATTGAACTCTGGTCCTTACGCCTGTGAGGCAGGCATTGGAACCGCTGAGCTGGATTCCCGGCCCTCACTGCAGTTTTAGGTGGAGCACCCACAGACCACTGGTGGGTAAGACAGACCTCAGTGGGGGCAAAGGGTGACATTGGTTCCTCTCAAGACGTTTCAACGCCCTGCCTTGCTGAGAAGACGCAAGGCCAAGATCTAAGAAAAACACCTTGTGGACTTTTAAACCCATCTGCAAAATTTGCTTTGTGCTTTCTTAGTGAAGAAATAGTCTATACTAAACCAGAATCCTCTGAGAGTGACTCACAAAAGATACAGTATTGAGCAGGTGTGGTGACGTACACTATGATACCAGCTACTCCAGAGGCTAAAGCAGGAA